GAATGAAGTGGGTAGATCATGAGATCAGGTGTTCAAGACCATCCTGGCCAACATAGTGAAACCTTGTCTCTACTAAAAATACAACAATTAGCTGGGTGTGGTGGCCCGTGCCTGTCGTCTCAGCTACTCCGGAGACAGAGGCAGGAGAATCGCTTGGACTCAGGAGGTGGAGGTAGTGGTGAGCCAAGATTGTGCCACTGCACTCCAGCCTGAGCAACAAATTGAGACTCTGTCTCAAAAAAAAAAAACAAACAAAACAAAACAAAAAACCTTGTTACAATGTCAGAACATTGGCACATTACCTATCTGACATTAAAAAAAGAAAGAAAGAAAGGAAACAAACAAATGAGTGCAATTCAATGATACACATGTTATAATTAAATAAGCTCCTGGATCCAAAAAGGGGAAAGAATCAGTACATCACATGGAGGATGCAGCAATCAAGAGAGCCTTTAGAGAGAGAGGTAACATAAGACCTACTTGCTCTTGGATTCATTCTGACATTTTATTTGCAGAAACATTGGTAGTGGGAGTCCAGGTGCTGAGAAAGCTGTAACAACTATTAATGCTGATGGTGGTTATTCAGCCAAGTGTGAGATATGATACAGACTGGACATAAGTGGTTGACATAGTAATCTAAAATAAGAGGCAGAGGCTAAGCACGGTGGCTTATGCCTGTAATCCCAGCATTTTGAGAGGCTGAGGCAGGCAGATTATGAGATCTAGAGTTTGAGACCAGCCTGGCCAATATGGTGAAGCCCCGTCTCTACTAAAGATTCCCAAAAATTTAGCCAAACATGGTGGCTGAGGCGGGAGAATCACTTGAACCCAGGAGGTGGAGGCTGCAATGAGCCGAGATCGCGTCACTACACTCCAGCCTGAGTGACAGAGCAAGATTCGGACTCAAAAAACCAAAAAACATTAAATGCTTTCTTGAACAAATTTTCTTTTGCTATTTTTTCTCTCTCAGGTTATCTACCAGACCTAATGAAGCAAGCTTATCTTCTTCCAGGCTTCAACTACTACTTGAATTTCATTAACTTTCCACATTTATTTATTTATCTTTAACCTCACTTTCATTCCTGAATTTCATTTGTATTTCCAACAATTTGCTGTTTGATTTTGACTGTGTCCTCCAATTGTCTAGACTTTAAAATCAATATTTAGAAACTCAAACATATTTACCCAACCACTCACACTGACCTTACATTAAAATAAACACATGCCACAACTATTCTTTCTCTAACATGTATGTTTATATTTGGGGTATTGCCTCAGCAGCTACTGGTATGACAAAGCTAGAAATGATAGCATCCTCCCTAGTTCTTCTCTAATGTTTCCTATATCTGATTGATCCCCACATCCTGCTGATTTTACTTCTTTTCCACCTTCTTATGTGTGAGCGGATGCAAAACCTTCCTAATCAGCTTCTCTACTTCCTGCTATTCCAGTTCATTCTTTGTATTATTGTCAGCTTTATATTTCCAAACACCTCGAGACTCTTCAAGAAAAATGTTTCAATTTCATAATAGGTCATAAATTAACTTAATCTTCTGAACTACAGTACAGAGGAATTTTGTACCAACTTCCTGGGAATCACTTTATATAACAAACTACATCCATTTGAGTAGACAAACCCTTGGAGCAAGCCAGCTCAAGATGCTGCAGCTTTATTAATCCTTGAAGTCCAATAGGAGATCCAGGATTTGGAAGGGAGATGGAGGCTTTTCAGAGAATGTGATGAGTTTACACAAGAAACAAACAACGTAAGGGCAAAACCAGATTACAGCACCTTCAAAGAACTGAAACAACTCATGTACATTAAATATTTTAAGGTATATTAATGTGATTTCAAGGTCTTTGAGCTTCCCGTAGGAGGTATGTGAAGTAAGAAGAAATGAAAATGTAATCGTTATAGTGCACATATGTTCTTTCTGTCTTTCTGAAACAAAAATGCTATGATAAATACTGGTGAAAGATGCATTCTTATCTTTGTGAAAACATCTCCCATTTCTAAGAGACTACCTTGCTGGTGACTAGATCTTTGAAGACATACTTTGGTGCCCAGAAAGATACCTGATTAGTTAGACCAAGGGAACCAAGAAGATTATATCTCTATGTTGCTCTTATTAGTCTCTTTGTAGTTTGTACTTTCAGTAGGCTACCTGTACTTAATTTGCTTCTTAAACTATGATGAAAACCGCAGAAAAAATATTATGACCATATTACAGGTAAAGCAACAAAGGTCCCCAAAGGTGGAGTGACTTGGCCAGGATCACAAAGCTAGTTAAAAACTCATTTACTCTTTATGCCATTAACATATTAAGTCCTATCAAGTCGGGATTCTAAAACTATCTATGGTAGAATTAATCAGAGTAAATATCTTTGTTTTTCTTTTTTGAGACAGAGTCTCGCTCTGGTTGTGCAGGATCTGTTAACTCACTGCAACCTCTGCCTCCTGGGTTTAAGTGATTCTCCCACCTCAGCCTCCCAAGTAGCTGAGAGAACAGGCACCACCACCATGCCTGGCTAAGTTTTTGTATTTTTTTTAGTAGAGATGGTGTTTCATCATGTTGCCTAGGCTGGTTTTGAACTGCTGAGCTCAGGCAATCCACCCACCTCGGCCTCCCAAAGTGCTAAGATTACAGGTGTGAGCCATGTGCCCGGCCTACTTTTTGTGTTTTTAGTAGAAGCAGGGTTTCACTTGTTGTCCAGGCTGGTCTTGAATTGCTAACCTGAAGTGATCCCCTGCTTCAGTCTCCCAAAGTGTTGGGATTACAGGCATGAGCCACCATGCCCTGCCTGTTATTTTTTAAAAATTTTCTTTAAGAGACAGAGTCTTGCTCTGTAGCCCAAGCTGAATGCAGCTGTACAATCACAGCTCACTGTAACCTCAAACTCTTGGCAAAAGGGATCCTCCCACCTCGCCCTCTCAGGTAGTTAGCACAGGCTGGTCTCAAACTCCTGGACTCAGGATTCTCCTACCTCTGCCTCCCTAAGTACTGGGATTATAGAGATGAGACACCACACCAGGCCCCAGAGTAAACATCTTTAAATGAAAGAGTCTGCAACAAAAGAGACTCTACAAAATCAGTTTAATGCTATGTTTTCTCTTTCTATTAATATTGTTTTGTTATACTTTCTGTGTCTACATTCTCATTCCATCATGAGCTCCTCGAGGACAGTGCTTAGGTGATATTTACCTCTGTCTTCTGACACTGTCACTGACACCGTGTTTCTGGCATTCAGGCAGAAAAGGCTCAATAAAAATGTATCGAATCAAATAAATATTTGTAATTCACATGACAGACAAATGCCTGATGCCTAAGCAGCAGTTTATTTCTCCTTATCAATAAATGTCAGATTGTTTTCTCCTTTCCCTGCTTTCCTTTTTTATTTTTTATTTGTTTATTTTCTCCTTTCCCTGCTTTCAGTTGAAAGTTGTAAAACCTAATGGTGACTGGCCAAGGAAATTTCCTCTTTAAATTCAAAGTTGGCAAACACACTGAAGACATTGCGATAGTCTTAATATATTCCTCTTAGGAATGTGACAAGTCTTCAGAGCAAAGAGTTAACATATTTAGAGGTCAAAAAAATGATTTTAGTAAATAGGCATTTATTTTGGGGAGTAAAGAGATGGGAAGAATTAGAGAAAGATGAAAAGCAAAAACAAAGAGCATGTGGATAATGAGAATATGACTCCGTTTTACAGCTGTGAGTTCAGACTAAAAGATAAGCAATACTCTCTTAAAAAAAAAAAAAAAGAAAAAGAAAAAAAGGGCCAGGAGTGGTGGCTCACGCCTGTAATCTCAGCACTTTGGGAGGCAAAGGCAGGTGGATCAGCTGAGGACAGGAGTTCGAGACTATCCTGGCCAACATGGTGAAACTGTCTCCAAAAAAATAAAAATAAATTTAAAAAATAAAGAAAAATAAAAAAAAGATAAGCAATGCTATTTTTTGTAATATACTTCTAATACGGAACATTAAAAAAGACTTGTAGACCGTGGTATGTATTTATTTTGTGGCAAAGATGTCATTTTTAGAAAGAAGCATGTACAATTTTGCTTTCCCTGTTTTTAATGAATGAAGAAAGGTATTCCCTATCCTCTTTTAACTGTCATCATTCCTCTAATCCAGGCTTGGGGAAAAGTAATATTTACAGGTTTGCAAGAAGACACCATCTTTAAGCAGCATTTAGGCACTTTTACAATGCTGCCTAAATATTACAAGATAATATTATAAATCAATTTATAATATATAAAATTAATTTATATATTATGTAATATATATTTATTTATATATTTAATATATTAATTTATATATATTTAGTAATATATATTAAATATACAAAAATGTATGTATTATATAAATATATTTTAAAAAGTATAATTTTATAACATGGAAATCAACCATGAATGTCAATTTCACATTCAAAATTCACATTTTGACATCTGTGGCCTCTGAAGTTCCTCACTTAAACCACTGGGCCTAGGTTTTATTTTTTAAGACTATTAAAAAGGAGGATGGGGCTGGGAGTGGTAGCTCACACCTGTAATTCCAGCACTTTGGGAGGCCGAGGTGGGAGGATCATTTGAGGTCAGGAGTTCAAGACCAGCCTTACCAACTTGGTGAAACGCTACTAAAAACAAAGTTAACTGGACATGGTGGGTACCTGTAGTCCCAGCTACTTGGGACGCTGAGGCAGGAAAATCTCTTCAACCTGGGAAGTGGAGGCTGCAGTGAGCCGAGATCACACCACTACGCTCCAGCCTGAGTGAGAGAACGAGACTCCATCTCAAAAACAAAAACAAAAAAAACCGGAGGATGGGAGATGACTGTCCAGATACTTTCCAGCTTTGCCGCTATATGATCTACTCCTCTTGTTTACTTTGTTTTCAGCATGGGTGCTTCTGGCACTTTTATCTACATTCCAGCCTCTGGAGACTGGCTGCCTAGAGTAACAGGCGTTTCCCCAGAGCCCGTGGGGTGGCCTCACTTTGGGGGCGTGGGCATATCGCTGGCTCCCACGCCTTAACTTTGGGATAGCAGGCGGGATCCTTTCCAGCCCAAGCTCCCGGCCCAGGCGCGCCACGCGCAGCCCCGCCCCACCCCGCCGTCCCCTTCCGCCCCTGGGCAGCGATTTTTCCTATGAAATTGCGCAGAGCAGGGAGCGGGGCGGGGCCGGCGGGCCACGTGGCAAGACGGAGACAGCTCCGCCCACCGGCTTCCTGAGCCGCTGCTCCTGGCCGCCCTCCTCCCTGCACACGTGGTGTCGCCGGTGCTGCCTCCCGCTAGCCCCGGACCCAGCGCCTGCCGTCATGGCTCCCGGCCAGCTCGGTGAGCCCCTAGCGGAGCGGCGCGGTCTGCGTCCCCACTCCCGACCCCCACGCTCCCGCCATGGCGAATGCCGGCGGGAACTGGCATGGCAGGGGTGGCGCTGCGGGACTGAAAGCCAATCCCCACGCCCCGGCCGACTCCAACCCGCGTGGGACCCACCTTAGAGCAGCTGTCGGGTGTTGAACCTGGGAAGGCCCCCGCCAGGCCTGCGAACGCTGGGCCCCGGTGCTGGCCTTGGGATTCGAGACTCTCCTCCCCCAGACCCTCCCAAGGCCTTGCAGAACATAGTGCAGCAGTGTGCTGGGAGTCATGAAAAACAATGTCTTCTCTTTTCAGCCTTGTTCAGTGTCTCTGATAAAACCGGCCTTGTGGAATTTGCAAGAAACCTGACCTCTCTCGGTTTGAATCTGGTCGCTTCCGGAGGGACTGCAAAAGCTCTCAGGGATGCTGGTCTGGCAGTCAGGTAAGGCTCAACTAGTCCCATCAGGAAAAAAGTGTGATCACATTAACCAGGAAGTGTTGTATTGCAGGCACCAGGAGCAGAATGCCTTATTTATTCCTTCCAGTAGCGCTGTGAGGTTGGTGCACTACTTCCCCAGTTTATGGAAGACGAAAGTGAGGCTCAGAACTTTTAATACCCTAGACGGCCGGGCGCGGTGGCTCACATTTGTAATTCCAGCACTTTGGTAGGCCAAGGTGGGTGGATGACTTGAGGTCAGCAGTTCGAGACCAGCCTCACCAACATGGTGAAACCCAGTCTCTTAAAAAAAAAAAAAAAAGAAGGTAGTAAAAATGGATCGTAATTCTTAACATGTTAATATATATTTTTCTAGCATTTTTATAAGCATATACTTTGTTTCATAGCTTACAAAGAAGGTAGATGCAGTTTTGCTTCCTGCTTTATTTATTTATTTATTTATTTGAGATGAAGTTTCGTTCTTTTTGCCCAGGCTGGAGTGCAGTGGCGCGATCTCGTCTCACTGCAACCTCTGCCTCCTGGCTTCAAGCGATTCTCTTGCCTCAGCCTCCTGAGAAGATGGGGTTACAGGTACCCACCACCATGCTTGGCTAATTTTTTGTATTTTTTTAGTAGAGATAGGGTTTCATGTTGGCCAGGCTGGTCTCAAACTCCCAACCTCAGGTGATCCACCCATCTTGGCTTCCCAAAGTGCTGGGATTACAAGCGTGAGCCACCGTGCCTGGCCAAGGATATTTTTTTTTTTTTTTTTTTTTTCTTTGGGACGGAGTTTCGCTCTTGTTACCCAGGCTGGAGTGCAATGGCACGATCTCGGCTCACCGCAACCTCCGCCTCCTGGGTTCAGGCAATTCTCCTGCCTCAGCCTCCTGAGTGGCTGGGATTACAGGCACGTGCCACCATGCCCAGCTAATTTTTTGTATTTTCAGTAGAGACAGGGTTTCACCATGTTGACCAGGATGGTCTTGATCTCTTGACCTCGTGATCCACCCGGCTCGGCCTCCCAAAGTGCTGGGATTACAGGCTTGAGCCACCGCGCCCGGCCGGCCAAGGATATTTTTAATGCTTTTTGTTATATACTGCCAAATTCTCAGCTGTATTTCTTAGTAATATTTAATTAGTATGGCATATGATTCAATTTCTAAATTCTCTGAAAATTATAAAACTAGTACTGGAATATTTACCAGCTTTTTCTGAACATACAACAGGTAGGAAATATGTTTTTTGGTTTTTTTTAGATTTTTTTTTTAAGAGATGGGGTCTTGCTGTGTTGCCCAGGCTGGAGTGCAGTGGCTATTCATAGGCTCAATCCTGCTACTGATCAGCATGGGAGTTTTGACCTGCCCCGTTTCTGACCTGGGCTGGTTTACCCCTCCTTAGGCAACCTGGTGGTCCCTGCTCCCAGGAGGTCACCATATTGATGCTGAACTTAGTGCAGACATCCAGTTGGCATAGTGCACTACAGCCCAAAACTCCTGGACTGAAGCAATCCTCCAGCCTTAGCCTCCTGAGTAGCTGGGACTACAGGCACGTGCCACCACGCCTGGCAGGAAATATGTTAAATAACATTTTTTTTGAAAAGTAAATAGAATTTTACGTAAGAAATCGAGTATAGTGGAAGACTGAAAAAAAATCAGAATTTTCTTGTTGAATTCAGGCTCAAAATCTTTTGAAATGAAAACAGTAGATGCTTTGAATAGTGTAAAGTAACAATTCAGCCATACCAGTAGTACTATTCTGTTTATCTGTTTTTCAGAGACGTCTCTGAGTTGACAGGATTTCCTGAAATGTTGGGGGGACGTGTGAAAACTTTGCATCCTGCAGTCCATGCTGGTAAGTGGTTGGTATCTTCAGTGTAAAACAGTGATTTTCAGGAATATTTTAGTTGATAATATCCTAAAATAAAGGAAGAAAAAGGCTCAAGAGAAATTTACATATAAAGTTAATATTATGAAGCTCCTGCCACATTTCATAAAACGTTAGAACCTGTTTAAAATCTGGCTTGTCTTATTATTTGATGAATTTAGATTATTTTCTTCCACTTGGTATTAGTCCTGACCTGATACCTAATGTAGAGTCTGGTATTTCCTACGTGTTGCTGAAGATATTTAGATTTCATAGTAGGAAAAGACTTTTACAATAATTCAAACTTAGAATAAAGTATCACAATGTAACTGACTTGCAAAAGAATTTTTCTTCAAAGTGCTTTACATTTGTTCAGTCACCTGAGAATGAATTGTATATAAACCAAAATGGCAAGAAACTGATATACTTCTAGTTTGTCAGTTGTGGTACAATTTGAGTAAAGCTGAATGGCTACAGATCATCAGACAAACCATTGACTTATGGGAACACGTAGTCTGTTCTGGAACTAGCAGCAGTTTTGTAAAATTCTTTTACATTTTTTACATTTTATTGCTCCCCATTTTACATTTAAAGGGGATCAGGAACTAAAGAAAAAGATTTTTAAATGTGTCTTTTTTTTTTTTGAGACAGGTTTACACTCCAGCCCAGGCTGGTGTACAGTGGTACGATCACGGCTCACCACAGCCTCTGCCTGCCTCTCAGGCTCAAGCAATTCTCCCAACTCAGCCTCCCAACTAGCTGAGACTACAGGCATATGCCACCATTCCCAGCTAATCTTTTTTTTTTTTAGAGACAGAGTCTCACCTTGTTGCTCAGGCTGGTCTCGAACTCCTGGGCTCAGGTGATCCTCCTGCCTTAGCCTCCCAAAGTGCTGGTATTATAGGCATGAGCCACTGTGACCAGCCAAATTTATCTGCTAATTCTAATTTTTTATTTGATGACTCTTCAGCTATATGTTTGGTATTCTTTAATTAAGTATATTACGCTGGGCATGGTGGCTCTAACCAGCAGTCCCATCACTTTGAGAGTTGAGATAGGAGAATTGCTTGAGCCCACGAGTTTAAGATCACCATGGGCAACATGGCAACTCCCCCCTTCTCTTTAAAAAATAAAATGACCAGCTGCAGGGGGTGGTGCGTACCTGTAGTCCCAGCTACTTGGGAGGCTGAGGTGGGTGGATTGCTTGACCATGGGGGATGAAGGCTGTGGTGAGTTGTGTTGATGCCACTGCACTCTAGCCTGGACGATAGAGCAAGACTGTCTCAAAAAAAATTTTTTTTTTTTAAATCAAGAGGATTTCGTTTGATGGAAGACACTGTTGAAAGAAATTTTTTAATCTGACCTGTTTTTTGAACCTAATACTTTAACTTTGTTAAATTAGGAATCCTGGCTCGCAATATCCCAGAAGATCATGCTGACATGGCCAGACTTGATTTCAATCTTATAAGGTAAAAACCTGAAGTTGAACTTTTGACACATTTTGGACCAACGACAAAGACTATGACAAACCTTCTATCCCTGTTTTTTCGTACTCACTATAAACCTTTACTGCGTACCTTCTTTGCGACTTTGTCTGTGTGTAAGCATTGCCAGATTTATGTTACCAAAATACATACTTAAGTTTTTTAGGAAGTTACGATCTAAATTTTAGTATGTGAAGGTTGAGTATCCCTTATCTGAAACGCTTGGGACCCAGAAGTGTCTTGGATTTTAGATTTTGTAATATTTGCAGATAATATCAATTGAGCATCCCTCAGAAATCCAAAATGCTCCAGTGAGCATTTCCTTCGAGTGTCATGTTGACACTCAAAAAGTTTCAGATTTTGGAGCATTTCAGACTTCAGGTTTATTTGGAGCATTTCAGATTTCAGGGATTATCAGCTTGCACAACCAACTGAAGTGATTTGCATAAAGATACTGGCTATTTCTTTTAAATATACGTAACAGCTCTATTGAGATCTAATCCACATACCATACAATTTACCAGTTTAAAATGTATAAATCAGCGGTTCACAGAAGTTTTGCAACCATTACTGTGTTAGTCTATTCTGTGTTGCTATAAAGGAGTACTTGAAGCTGGGTAATTTACGAAAATAGGTTTATTTTGGCCCATGGTTCTTCAGACTGTACAAGAAGCATGGTGCCAGCATCAGCTTCTGGTGAGGGCCTCAGTAAGCTTACAATCACAGTGGAAGGCAGAAGGGGAGCTGGTGTATCACATGATGCGAGAGGAAGGAAGAGAGAGGGAGAGGAGGAGTTGCCCAGCTCTTTATTTATTTTTTTTTTTAATTTTATTTTGAGACAGAGTCTCGCTCTGTTGCCTAGGTTGGAGTTCAGTGGCACAATCATGGCTCACTACAACCTCAGCCTCCCTCGTTCAAGCAATTCTCCTGCCTCAGCCTCCCTAGTAGATGAGACTACAGGCGTTCATCACCGTGCCTGGCTAATTTTTACTATTTTTAGTAGAGATTGGGTTTTATCCTGTTGGTCAGGCTGGTCTTGGAACTCCTGAACTCAAATGATCCTCCCACCTTAGCCTCCCAAAATGGTGGGATGAGGTGTGAGCCACCGTGCCCAGCCTGCCTGGGTCTTTTAAACAACCAGCTGTACGTGAACGCAGAGTGAGGACTTATTATGGGGAGGGCACCAAGCCATTCATAAGGGATCTGTCCCCAGGCCCAAATCAACTCCCACCAGGCCCCAGCGTTGGGGATCACATTTCAAGATGAAATTTGGAGAGGACACACATCAAACACACATATTAATTGCTACATCCAATATTTGAATGTATTCATCACCCCCACCCCAAACCCTATACCCATATGCATTTATTCTCCATTTCCCCAACACCCTCCAGCCTCGGCAACCATCGATTGTTCTGTCTCTGATTTGCCCGTACTGGACATTTTCATATAAATGGAATCCAACAGCATATGGTTGTTTTGTTCCTGGCTTCTTTCACTTAGCGTGTTGTGAAGGCCTATCCGTGTTAGGGCATAGTATCAGTACTTCATTTCCTTTTTAGTGTTGAAAAATAATCCACTGTGTGGTCATACCCTATTTGATTTATAAGCTCATTTGTTGACGGACATTTGGGTGGTTTCTGCTTTTTGAATATTGTGAATAACACAGCTATAAATATTTGTGTACTAGTGTTTGTGTGGACATATATGTTCATTTCATTGGGGTGTATACCTAGGAGTGGAATTCCTTGGTCGTGTGGTAACTATGTTGAACTTTTGAGGAACTGCGACCCTGTATTTCAGGGTGCTGCAGCGTTTTACATTGCCAGCAGCAGTGTGCTGGTTGGGCTCCCAGTTTCTCCACATTCTCATCAACATTACTATCTGTCTTTTTGTTTCTAGTCATTCTAAGGGGTTGTGAAGTGGCATCTCATTGCGGTTATAATTTGCTTTCCAAATAATGTGAAACACCTTTGCATGTGCTTCCTAGCCAGTTATGTACTTTCTTTGGAGAAATGTCTGTTCAGATCCTTTGCTCGTTTTTAGTTGAGTTACTTATCTGTTTATTATTGAGTTGTAAGTTTCGTCTCATTCTGTGGATGATTGTGTTAGCCTTTCTTGATGGTGTACTTTTTTTTTTTTTGGAAGACAGAGTCTCACTCTGT